GTGCATTTGATCTCATTTCAAAGGAAGAATGATGCATTGTTTTTTTATGGGTTTGGCAGATGGTAGGGTTGAGTTTATTAAGACACTAAGACCCTGGGCGGGAAATGGGCAGTCCTGAAAAATGATTTTTGTAGAACCCGCTTCTAGATAGATCCATGGGTTTTGCTATGGGGATTAGAGGGATGACTTTTAGAATTCATCAAACTCTGATACCTGATATTGTGGGCACAGATGCTGCTGCTTTTCTCCTTGCTTAGGAGAAGTGCTGATTTGGTCCCTTGGCAGCGAGTGCTGGGGTGGTGCCAGGTTGCCACGCCATGCTGCCATACCACCGGGAGGGGCCACCCTCCCCCACTGTAGGAAGACTCTCTCTATGCTTTTCCTTAGGGAGGAGTGGGAGCCGCTCTGCTATCAGACCCTGACAAGACTGAGAAAGTAAGTCCTGCATGAGTGAAACCAGAGGTCCTTAAACGTGCCAATGAACTAGAGTTGCCTGGAAAGCCCTTCCTTCCCCGCCCCCGGCCCCGCCCCGCCGATTTAGTGAAGCAGTCGCTCCATTTGGAGTCTGGAAAATGTTTAAAAGGCTTCCCAGTGATTCTGACATGCAGCCAGGTTTGGGAACCCCTGAGGCAGCCTACAGCAGCCTTAGAGTTCCTTAAAAGCCCAAGGCTAGGGACATGAGAGCCAGGAGGCCTGAGGACTCCTTTAGAGCCTCCTGTGTACTCCTCTCTCCATTCTGAGACGATCGTGAGAGCGTAGGCCAGGCTACCTGTTGGTTGTGGACAAGCTAAGAGGCCGTGGGGTGGGTGGGGTGAGAGGGGTGATTGGCCTCTCCCAGGGGCCTTGATGAGAGCAGCAGTGTGTCTCCTGCGTACGAATAGAGTTCACCACCAGCCTTTGAGAGCTGGCCAGGCCACGGTCTCAAGAGGCAAGCTGAAGTTATCTCCTCTGGTCCCCTTCCCTTGGTGATTCTGTAGGCCAGGTTTATGAGGCCCTGGGGACAGGCTGGCATTTGCCACCCAGTGTTGTGAGCTGCCAGGGCGTGTGGGGGTGACATTTTCTTCCACACCATGTACACCTTTTACTTCCCTCTCTCAGTCCACCAGCCTCTCCTTCTTGCTCCTCTTAGCTCCTTTGAGTCCTTTTCATTCTCCATCTTCACTTCCCTGTCTGAGTTTTAAGCCCCCTAGTGCCTCCCACAGGCTAGAGCGACTTGGGATAAGGCACCATCAATAAGAGCCGCCATTATGTGTGCTGGCTGCTGTGTCAGCAGCTCACCCCTGTGTATTCCTTCAGCCCACTGTCTCTGGGACATAGGAAAACCAGTGTGTTGATGGGCTAGGTGCCTTCTCATTTTTCCCATATGCAGATAGGTACAGGTAGTGTATCTATAGTGTGCCTGTAATCTAGCCTTACCATTTGTAGGGTAATTTCCTTTGCAAAGTATATTCTAGCACTAATTCCATTTGTTCCCCAAACCCCTTGAAGTAGACGGGCAGGCATTTTTTAATCTCCATTTGATCAAGAATAATAAAACCAAAGCACAGAGAGATAAAAATGGTTTGCTCAAGATCTTGGAGCCAATAGGTAGCAGGTGGAGCTGAGTCTAGAGCTGTGGTCTTGTGACCCCTACCCCAATGTCAGGGCCGCCTCTCGATGGCATCTCAGGTTAAAGGTGCCTGGGTATAGTTTATAAGTGTCTGGCCACAGGTCAGTGGACACGTGAACTTAGGAACCTCCAGTCAGACACTTCTGTGCAGGATGGAGTGGATGTGGACAGCTGTGCATGTCAAATTCATCACCACGCTTAGGGGCGGGGGCCGTGGTAGGGGGTGGTGTGCTTCACAACATATGCACACAGGCATTTTTGTTCTCCTCCAGCCTCCTGGCTTCTCCCGCCCCTGCTATTGGCTCTGTCCTCTCCACTGCGCCTCTTTGGATGAGGCACATTTCACATTTCACATGTGAGGCAGCAGAGGTACACTGCACCTCAGAAGCTCAGTTCATGCTGTTCCTTCTCTGTTTGGTGGGGTGGTCAGATGGGCCAGGTCGGACTAGTAGATGCAGTTTGCCTTACAGAGGGGAGATTGTGGCTTCCACAACAAAGCCAGAGTGGATCCAGGAAGAGTGGGCTGGGTTAGATTCAGGTTCAAACTTTGCTGGCAAACTGGGTGACCTGGTTGAGAGCTTTGTGGTTTCTTCCAGGCTCGGTGTTTTAGGCCCATGGTTATCTCTGGGAGCATCTCAGGACCACCTGCAGAATTTTTCAAAATAAGGATGTCTGTTTGGGGTGATGAAAAATTTGGGAGGTAGATAGTGGTAATGGTTGCACAACATTGTGAATGTAATTAATGCTACTGAATTATATACTTAAAAATGGTTAAAATGGAAAATTTTGTGTTATATATATTTTACCACAATAAAAAAAAAAAAGAGTTGCTATCTGTTGAGAATTCTGTATACTCTTGGAGCAGATAAGGGCAGGGAGGGGTTAGCAGTCTTGAAAAAGCTTCCTAGGTAACTCTGGTGTACCCTCCCTGATTGAGAACTTCAGTTTTAGACTCCAACTCAGTAATATCCTGTCTCTCACCCCTGCCCAAGATTCCTTGGGCCCCCCAAGCTTCCCAGGGCATCCCCCTCTGCACACTGCCCTTGGGCCATTGCTAACAATTGGCAGGGCCTGGTCTTGAACTCACTTCTCACTGATTCGCAAACCTATGCTCTCTCATCCTCCTCCCTACCCCCTCTGCAACAAGCAGGGCAGCTAAGGGTCTACTTTTCCTGAGTCAGCCAGTGGATCTGGTGAGAGAACCTGCCTGTGGGTGATGTGCTGTTATCTGCTCAGATATGGGCCAGTCTCAGATCCTTTTCCCCTGCAGACTTGCACAGCGCAGAAACATATGGTGTGACTTGGATCTGTGAGAGTTGGGTCCAGGAGAGTTTCATGCTCGATCCTGGCCAGAGGACAGACTCTAGTTGCTTTTTCCCCTCAGTGTGACTCTTGCAAGGGGCTGGTGCTTTTGACTACTAGTTTCCTTCCTGGTCCTGAACACGCACATGAAATGAACAGAAATACTGAAGAAAGTGCTTAGAGCTACTTGGATAAAATACACCAAAAGGAAGTTCTGCTAAACAGAGAATTGGATCAAACCAGCTGACATTGCTTAAATCACCAAACATCAGAGGATTCTGTCAGCACTTGCAAAGGAACCTTCCAGAGACGGTACTGTCAGCCTGAGGGATAGGACTAGAGTGAGAATTTTAATTGTGTGTCTCCGTGGATCTGGCTGTCTCCCCCTTAAAGGGTAGGTGCCCCTTTAAGGCCTGCCAGAGTGACCCTAGGACCTGAGACGCATTCTGCCTCCTGGGGCAGCACCTGGGGATTGTTCCTTCCTGCCAGTCCCTGGCATTTGTGCCTGGGCCAGCAGGTCCTGTCTTGCCCATGATCTGTCTACCTGCCTGTCAGCCTAGCTTCTGATGTCTTCTGGAAGGGCCTGCCTCAGCCGGTGTCTGAGAGAAAGGCCTCCTCCACTGCTTCTTGCAACCTAGTTCTCTGCTGCCCCCACCTGCCTAGAACCAAGACTGGCCTCAGGTGCCTGGGTGTCCCCTTCATTGTGCTGCACAGCGATCCAGTTCTTCAAGGAAGGCTCTTGGGATCATGTTCCCTCCAGCTTGCCTGACCTGAAATTTTTGATGGGGGAAGAAGATGGCAATGCCACAGACATTCAGTGTCATCTGCACCTCTCTTGATCTCTGATTCCGTGTAGTCTGGTCTTGCTACCTCCTTGACACTTTCCCGCATGACTTCTTGATCTCTGTTTGAAGTGCTTTGCAATTACTATGCAAATAAACACTTTTCCGTATGTCGCCTATGTTGTCTTTTCCTTTACAAGTCTCACTCCTGTATGTCTGACTCCCCTAGAGAGAGGGCTACATGAGGACAAGGCTCAGAACCTGTGAAGCCTTCCTGCTCCCTCACTTGGCAGATCCTGGAGCAGTACTCAGGGAACATTGCCTTCAAGCAGGAAAGAAGCTGTCAGCTGTGTTCTCAACCAGGACTAGGCCTCAGAATCATATTGAGGAGGGAGTGTGTTGGGCAGAGCCTTTAAAAAAATTTTTTTTCCAGTTTTATTAAGAAATAATTGACATCACTGTATAAGTTTAAGGTATACAGCATAATGGTTTGATTTAAATATATTGTGAAATGATTACCACAATAGATTTAGTTAACATCCATCACCTCATATAGATACAATAAAAAGAAAAGAAAAAGAATTTTTTCTCCTTGTGGTGAGAACTCTTAGGATCTACTCTCGTAACAACTTTCAAATATACCATACAGCAGTGTTAACTGTAGTCATCATGCTGTACATTACATCCCTAGTACTTATTTATCTTGTAACTGGCAGTTTGTATCTTTTGACCACTTTCTTCCAGTTTGGCCTTCCCCCACCCCCTGCCTCTGATAACCACAAATCTGGTCTGATAACCACAAATCTGGTCTCTTTTTCTCTGAGTTTGGTGGTTTTTTTTTTTTTTTTTAGATTCCACATGTAAGTGAGATCAGATCATACAGTGTTTGTCTTTCTCTGTCTAACTTATTTCACTTAGCATGATGCCTTCAGAGTCCATCTACGTTTTTGCAAATGGTAGGATTTCCTCCTTTTTAATGGCTGAATAATACGGAGACTTTTGAAAACACATATTCCTATGCCCTGACCCTAGAGATTCATTCAGGAAATATGAGGTAGAATCTAAGATTCTGTATTTTCTTACCCAGGTGATTCTGATGTCTGCCCTGGCAAAGGATCACTGTTTTCTACACAGGCATGCATGCAGATCCACTCATTCATTCACTTACCAAACATGTGTACACCACTATGTGCCAGGCAAGGGCCTGCTGGTGATGGGGCTCTAGCATAGAAAAAAGGTGGATTCCTTGCCTCATGGACATGTATGTGGATACAGGCCATTGTGATGCACAAGTCTGTAGCAGAGTTAATTAGTATGAGCAGTTGTGGCTATTTGTTCCAGAAGAGGCAGGTGCTCTTGTGTTCTCCTCTCTGCAGATCCTCAGCACTCTTGTTAAAGGGACACGCAGACCTGTGACCTGCAAGATTCGCATCCTACCATCGGTAAGGATAGTGTGTTCCCTTTTAAGGTCCATTTTCTCTGGGGATGTTGAGTTGGGGGTGTGAATGATTCCTGAGGAGCTGAATTAGGTTTGGAGGAGGGGGTGGAGCTGAGCCCACTCTAGGAGCTGGCAGCTGCTCCCTCAGCGGCTTCAGTACCCACCGTGTGTGGTCCTCCTCCTCAGCTAGAAGATACCTTGAGCCTCGTGAAGCGGATAGAGAGGACTGGCATTGCCGCCATCGCAGTCCATGGGAGGTGAGTGGTCACCTTTCTAGTGACTGACCTGCAGGAGAGTCCTCGGCCATCTTATGATCCTTCACCAGACTCCAGGTGACAATGGACTTCCCTTCTACATCTGCAGCCTACCTGTGCCCAGCTCTGACCTCCTATAAGTCCCGAGGGCAGTCGAACCCTTTATGGGCTTGAGTTTTCTTTGTTTCATTCATTGAGCACCTACTGGTGGTAGACACTGCACTGAGCTTTACAGACACAGAGAGACCAAGAGGAAGGAGAAACACCCCTCCCCTCAGGATGTGTAAATGGTAGAGGTTGAGTGATTTGCTGAAAATTGTACCATGCAGCCAGGAAGTGGTGGAATTAGAACTCTGAATCACGTTTTCTTTCCACTAGGTTGAGCAATAGCTTCTCCCTTGAATGACCCCAGGCAGATTGCTGTTCTTTTAAAGGCAGTGCCTCTTTTGTCTGCCCTTGTTGGACTGCCAGCTGTCACAGTGACTACTTTAAACAATCCTTGTATCTGTGGCTAATGTGCTCTCTGCTGAGAGCTGAGGTGTTGCTGAAGGCTACCCTTGGTTTCCTAGTCGAACTTGCTCCCTGTCTCAGGTTGTGCTTTTGTATAGAATCGCAGGTCAGCAGACTTTGGTCAGAGTGACCTCTCTTCTCGGAGTAATGTCCCTTGTGGGTTCAGGGGTCTTGTAGGAACAGCCCATTTTTTGCTGATTGTTTCTATTTCAGCAATTTCAGAGAGGGGAACTGCAACATATAAAAGAGAGAAAAGCAGAGCTGTGCAAGTTGAAGCCAGTAGGGAGAGGTGAAAGGCCACACACATATACACACATGCTCCTCCCTGAGACAGCAGGCTCTGGGCTCAGACTTCCTGGTTTCAAATCCCAGCTCTGCTGCTTGTTGGCTGTGCATCCTTGGAGAAATCACTTAACTTCTCTGAGCACCACATTCCTCATTTGGAAATTAAGATAATTTCTGCTTTATAGGGTTGTCGTGAGGCTTTTATGAGATTGTGAATATGCAGCCTTGGCACGGTGCCTGGCATATATTATGCTCTGAGTAAATACAGCTATTCCTTTTTACCAGTAGTTGGAAACACTAGGAAGACAGATTTGGGTGAGTTTAAGGAGGGACTTTCTGGCCATGAAAGCTGTTGAGGAAGGGCTAGAACTGGGTGCTGGGGGTATGAGGAGGTGGAGGTGAGGCTGAGTTGACAGGGCCTTCTGAGGCCCTGTGGCCTCTGACCCTTTTGTTGAGTGTAGCAGAGGGGACACACCCTGACAGACCTGGGCAAAGGCTGTCTGGTCAACCATCTTTCTTGCTTGTTCCTGAGCACAGCTTAGGTCAGGGCTTAACTCAGCATTCCTAAGACTCACTCACTCATACGCAGAAACTTCCTGCAATTGACCTTGGAAGGAGGGGCCACAGGTTGTGGTTTTGCCTCCCCTGTGTCTTGTCTTGACAGCCATGGTCTCTGGCCCGCCCTGGCTGCTGAGTCTACCGTGCGCCAGGTGCGTCTCCCCAGGATCAGCTGTCCAACTTGTCCTCAGCATAGGCAGCTGTGTGGGAGTGGCCAGTCTGAGCTGTGGCAGCTGTTCCCAGTCCCTTGGGGAGGGCAGGACTGGGACAGTAGGGACAGCATTTTTATGGCACTGTCCCTCATCTCTGGCAGAGGCGAGGGGAAGCCAGGGAAAGGCAGTATGACCTTGGGAGCCAGTCCACCTGCATTGGCCCCCTGCAGCCATGCCTCACCTGCAGGCATGCCTCACCTGCAGGCCTCCAAGAGCTGGACTTGCCTTCTCAGCATGGACCTGTGCTGCTCCTGCCCCTCGCCCCAGAAGTCATGGAGAGCCATCCCCTGTAGCCCAGACCCCTGTCTTTGATGGTCACATGACCTTCCTGAGGTTCAGTAGGGAGGACAGTAGGGTTTGGCTAAGGTAACCCTGTGTCAACTGTCATGTAGCCTTTGGCACCCAGCCCTCAGCCTCATCTTTTGTCTTTATCTCCAAGGACGCGGGAGGAGCGACCTCAGCACCCTGTCAGCTGTGAAGCCATCAAAGCCATTGCCGAAATCCTCTCTGTTCCTGTGATAGCCAAGTAAGCCCCCCTTCTCATCATTTACCTTTTTATGCCCACCTCACTCAGAAGGGATTTGAGCTGGCATACAGAAAATGGAACAGGATATCACTAAAGAATGACCTTAAGGGAAAAGGGAAAAAGGGCGGGATGAAAAATTATGTTGGGAGTGAGGCTGAAAAGTACCTATTATGTCCCCCGGCCTCTGGTGAGTGGCTGATGTAGGTGTGCAGTAGGCAGGGGCCCAGGGCATTCTGATGGACAGGTTGAGGGTAGGAGTGTTCAGGGGACAGGGAGAGCAAGAAGGTGGCCCCTGAAGCAGACCCAGGGGAAGGTGATGTCACACCCAGAGTTAGGTGTGCAGGGTGTAGGGTGAGGAGTCCCAAGCCAGAACATGTAGAGCTATGGCTCAGGGGGCATAAGGCAGGTCACAGTCCAAAGCCCAGACAAGCATTCTGGGCAGCTACGGGATCAGGAACCAAGACTGGCAGGTGTGAGGTACCCATAACCAGCCCAAAGGCTTAGTAGTAAGACATTATACAGTTGCCACTGGGGAGCTGGACTGTGTGGGCTAGTCGAGAGTCCAGTTCAGCCTTGCACCTTAGGATGGCACAGAGCCTGAGGGCAGGAGGGGGTCAGAGAAGTTCCAAAGCCCTGAAACCCTGACAAAAGGCACTCCTGGCTGGTGGGAGGGAGGGAGGGAGTTAAGGGTGGGGGTGGTAGCCAGGCCCAGCCTTCCCCAGGCCAAAGATTTTAGGGGTGGCTTGGAGAGTGTAGGGCTACTCAAGACCCTGGACCCTATTGCTGCTGCTGCCACTTGAGGGTCTCCCCACAACCCCAACACAAAATGCTGTCTCTGGACTGAGGCTGCTGCCTGGCTCCTAATGGAACAGATGAAAACAGAGCAGTTTTCAAGGGGGCCCTTGGGGCCACAGGGTGGCAGGAAGGAAAATTGCAACCAAACTGGGCCTCCTTCCTTCCTCTCATGATTGCCACTGCATCTGTTCCCTCTCCAGGGTTTTGACCCAGCTGGTCTTGCCCAGGTTAGTGGGCATATAGGTGTCCTAGCCTGGAGGTTTTCCTGTGATCCCAGTATCTACTTGCAGACCCATGTCTTCAGATGTGGGCTGGCTTTAGCCACTGTTTAGGATCAGGGGGAAGGAAGGTAAAATCTCTGGGACACCTGTTAAGTGCCAGGCACGGCCAGGCACAGTTTACTGTATTATCTCACTTGGCGCTCCTGATCCCATAGTGGGGTGTGTATTATAATCTCCTGTCTCTCAAAGCACTCACAGTTGAAGGACTTGGCCAAGGCCACACAGTTAATGAGGGGCAGATCTGGGGGTTGCCTTTTTCCGAAAATGCTGGTATGAGGATGGGGACACCCCTCACCCCCCTGTTGCCATTCAGTGGAGGATCTCACGACCACATCCAAGAGTACTTGGACATACAGGACTTTCGACAAGCCACGGCAGCGTCTTCAGTGATGGTGGCCCGAGCAGCCATGTGGAACCCGTCTATCTTCCTCAAGGAGGGTCTGCGGCCCCTGCAGGAGGTCATGCAGAAGTACATCCGATACGTATGTCTGCCGGGTTTTCAAAACAGTCATTTCTCACTGTCTGCCACATTCCTGCAGAAAGTGCTTTGGGAGAGCCCCCATCCCCAGCAGCTCTTGTTGTTCCTCTCCTTTTCTTCTTAGTTCTTGTAATGCAGCACTGGGTCTCCCCAGCTGCAATGTGAAGAGAGGGTGCTCAGGAGATATGCCCCTACCATCACTTCCTTCTAAAGCTTCCGAGGTGTAGGGGGCATAGTCAGGACCCCTGGATTCAGGATGCTTTTAGGGCCCCAGACACGATATCATTCTCTTACTCTCTCATACCCCACCCCCCCACACACATACATACACACACATGCACGATGACAATGGGGTCTGTGTCACTGAAGACATCCATTCCCAATGTGTTGGCACTGGAACAGCCACAGCCAGGAGCAGCCATCGTCGCTATTTTTGTTGAGGACAGATTCTCTCCATAGAGACTTCTCACTGGTCATCATCGAAATCATTTCTAGGGGCCAGCCTGGTGGTGTAGTGGTTAAGTTCACGCACTCTGCTTCGGCGGCCTGGGGTTTGCAGGTTCGGATCCCAGGCGTGGACCTAC